GGGGTTGGACTAGATGACCTACAAGGTCCCTTCCAACTCTGTTAATCTGTATCTGAAAATCTCTTAGCAAGGAAGTCCCCCCCCAACCGCCGGGGGGCCCCCTTCCCCTCCCCGATTCAAAACCAACCCCCCCCCCCCCCCCTTTTTTTCCCCCCCCCCCCCCTCCAGGAGACGGACCAGTTGGAAGCCGAACAGTCGGGTCTCCGGAAAGAAATCGCCGAATTGCAAAAACAGAAAGACCGCCTGGAATTAGTCCTGGAAGCCCACCGTCCCGTCTGCAAAATCCTGGAAGAATCCTCCGGCGATGAGGACGGGAGCTGCCTCCGCCCCCGGCAGGCCTCCCCTCCCTCCCAACTCCCGCCGGACAAGCAGGAGTCCCCCCCGGGGCCCCCGCGTGGCTCTCGCCGGACGGCCCTGGTGCCCCCTACCATCACCCTGCCCCCCAGCGGCCTGCTGGAGCCCGAATCCCTGCATACCCCTACTCTGATGTCCACCCCGTCTTTCACCCCCTTCACCCCCAGCCTGGTCTTCACCTACCCGGCCCCGGGGGACCCCGACGGGCCCTCGGTCTCCGGCTTTCCGGCCGAGGCCTGCTCCTCTGCCCACCGAAGGAGCAGCAGCGGGGACCACTCCTCCGATTCCCTCAACTCTCCAACCTTGCTGGCCCTTTGAGGAAACAAGCTCGGTTTGGGCTTGTCTCGAACCTTGTCCTTGGTTTTGGGGGGGGGGAGGGGGGGTATTTTGGCTATAATTCCCCTTTGGCTTCACTTTTGTGACCGACCGTCGTTAAAACAGGACTCCTGCTTGACTCCACGCAGGTGTCAACATTCAGAGCAGCCAAGGAGCTTCTGCTCTTTGGCCAGGAAAAACCCGAATTCCAACCAGGAATGATATGGTCTTTCGCAAAAAAAAACACTAAAATAGATTCTCTTACGCACGTCTCACATTTATATGGGCCAAGTTGCTAGTCCTCAAGACTTTATTTTTTTTTCTTTTTCTTTTGACATCCTCTTTCTGGAAAACAAACAGGAGTTTTGGGGTCCTTCCATCACATTCAAGAAATACACACACAAAAAATCACCCTTTTAAAGTCATTTTTCACTTGATAGGGTCTCCCTATTTTTCACTTTATAGGGTCTCCTGCTTGGGGGGTGGGTTGGACTAGATGACCTACAAGGTCCCTTCCAACTCTGATTATCTGTTATACCTGCCTGATTTTTGAAAGCAAGAAGAGAAATTTTAAGACATAAATATAGATTTATTTTTCTACGATGACCTACAGCTGCCAAGATGACGTGGGACATTTATTGTCCAGAACTGAAGTTGGTTGGATATATCTTATATTATTATAAACAATACAAGTTTTCTTCTTTCGTTTTTTCCTGATGCCTCATGAAACCTACATTACAAGGGAGGTTTGGACAAAAGTTATGGATGGTTTTGTGCCGCTTTTTTGATGCTGCTGGTTCTTGGTTACTTGTGCAAAAAAAAGGGAAAAAAAGGAATTGATACAAAAATACAAAAAAATAGTTATTTTGGGGGGTGTCTTCAAACCTCCAAGAATTAATCTGAGTTTAGTGGGACATTTAAATACAAATAAAGAACAGCAAGCACAGAAGAACTGTACCATCAGAGATCAGTGAGGGATAAATTTACCTATTGGTATTCTGTAAACTTTTGTTATTACTATTATTTTGAAAACATGTTGAACAATAAGCTTAGGATACCTACAGGACTTCACAGTGCTGGAGACAATACCAGTTGTTTTACATGGGCTGGGTTTTTTTTCCTCCTTCTCGCTTACTTTTTCTTGAAAATAAACCATACTGCTGCTAGACCTCATGAACTCTGTGGTTTGGCCAAGAATACCTATCTTAGGACAATGGTTTTGACAAAGCTTGGATAACAAAGGGAAAGACGACGTGGAAGATTCTCCAGAGAACTGCATCTAATCATGGTTACGTTTTCAACTTACGACTGCATTCTCCAGGGCTAAGCTAAGGCAGCGGTTCAATAAGTCACACAGCCCGATTTTATGACCCGGTTCCTGCCGTTGTTAAATGAATCAGGCAGTCGTTAAGCGAATCCAGCTTTCCCGGTTGATTTCACTGGTGAGGAACCGGCCGGGAAGGTTGCAAATGAACTGCATTGAACCAAACTTATTCGGCCCAATGCGATTCGACACCCAAGGAATCTGCCGGCGATCATGTGACTCTGCAAACACTGCAACCATCATAAATACATGCCAATTGCGCCAAGATTTGGATGACTACGGGGACCTCGCCACGGTCGTAAACATCGCTTTTTGCAAATGCCGTCATAGCTTCAAAGACTTGCCAAACGGATGGTTGCAAATCGAGGACTACCTGATAACATTCCCATTTTGCAAAGCCCAATCAGATTGCCGCTTTGCTTCTGATGACTTCGCCTAAAACTTCATGAGGACTAGCTGCATGTGGAGCTGCCTGCCATATATTTCTGACACTTTTAATGCCAAATCAGGCTGAACTAGATTGAGTTTTCTGTAACCCATTCCAGCTTTGCTTCCCTAAACCGTAAAAGGAGATTTCAAACTTACCTTGGACCAGAGAAGCAAGCAAAAAATAAATAAAAAAATAAAAGAGAGTATTTTGGCTCATTCGTCCACAAGAGAAACAAACATTTTCCAAGAAAAATCCCTGCCAGGAACCAACGCCGTAATCCCAACTGAGTCAAAAATTTTTGTTTACAGCCAGGGTTAAGTTCCAGCGTTGCCAAAAAGCACGTTTTCCCATCTCTTGCACGCCTTTTTTTTCCTAATGTGTGTGTTGGCCGGCCTTTGGGAGAAAATGTTTATTTGGAAAAATGGAATTAATTAAAAACAAACTCTATTGCAGCAGCAGGAGCGTGTGTTTTTTGTGTGCGTGTGAGTGTTTTCAGCCCAGAGCGATCAAGCCCAGGGCAATAGCAGAGGGTGGGTTTCTTGGGGGCCAGCCAAGGAAACAAAGTAAATTGATGGATAAAAGCCAGAAATTTTACAGAAACTTTTTACCGGCTCAGCGTTCCCCATTTCTGGCTGCATTCACACCACCAGTTTCCCTGAGTAGGTAAAAAAAATGTGTGTGAGTTCAGATTTGGGGTGAGAAGCAGCCAAGCCGTTGGCATAATTTTCAATTTGTGTATTGTTTTGCAAAGCCGGGGAAGGATGATTTCGGTCCCTGGGTGGAACAGGTTGTGTGAATGTGAACTTTCACAGGTCAAGGGAAAAGAAAACCAGGCGCACAAACACACTTTCTGCTGCATTTAATCTGCCTCTCCTCCTTTTGCAAGTCAGATTAACCGTTTTCATTTTGGTCTAACGGTGTCAAAAGTCCCAAAGGCAGACCAAGGAATCTCTGCATTCCAGTCACGTTGACGGTAAAGGTTTCCTTTATCAGAAACCAGGATCCGGCCAGCTGCTTCCTGGCTTGGAGTCCTTTCGTCTCCATCCAGGCTGGGCAGGAAGTGTCCGGTTGGTGGCCCCATTCAGTTGTAAGTTTTGCAAATATCTGTGACTCTTGCCCTTGCAATCCTCCAGAGGCAGCTCTTGTGCCAAATAACACATCTTGGGCTGGAGCAAAGAGATTTCGAACAAACCAGGATTGTTGGGCTTGACTTGGGATGGTGTGTGTGTGTGAGTGTTTCTTGGAATTGCTGGCTGTTTCCACCCACTCGTAACCCTCAACACTGCTGTTGTGTTCGCTAAATAGGTGATGCCCAAACCGAACCCTATTTTCATTCGTACAGAATGAAATGAAGTTGAAAGGGACCTTAGAGGTCATCTGTCTCAACCCCCACCCTGCCCATTTGCAAGGATCTTCCATTCCGGGGACAGCCAGCAGTTCTCCCATGTTCACTGGGGAAGAAACCCTGCTCCCACCAGCAATTTCCCCCCATGCCACCCGAAATCAACTTCCTTTCAATTTCGTACCATCAGCACATCTATACCATGGCAGCTTTAAGACGGCTGGTGGGCTTCAACTCCCAGAATTCCCCAGCCAGCGGATGGGTGGCCTGTTTTTTCCTTATCCAATAGAAGCAAGTTGGGTAACCCTCTCCTCCTCCTCCTCTTAAATCTGCCAAGGTTGGACATGCATAGTATAAGGTCTCCTGCTTGAGTTCGAACCCTCTTCTTCTATTCTTCCCGCTGTACAGAATAGAATGCAGAATAAGAGAGTTGGAAGGGACCTTCGAGGTCATCCAATCCAACCCCCTGCTCAAGCAAGAAACCGTATACCATTTCAGTCCAATCTCTTCTTAAGAACCTCCAGAGATGGAGCATCTACAACTTCTGGAGGCAAGTTGTTCCACCGATTAATTGTGCTCACGGTCAGGAAATTCCTCCTTAATTCCAAGTTGCTTCTCTCTTTGGTTAGTTCCCATCCATTGTTTCTTCTCCTGCCTTCAAAATGCTCTGGAGAATAGCTTGACTCCCTCTTCTTTGGGGCAGCCCCTGAGATATTGGAACCCTGCTATCATGTCTCCCCTAGTCCTTCTTTTCATTAAACTAGACAAAACCCAGTTCCAGCCACCGTTCTGTATACGTTTTAGCCTCCAGTCCTCTAATCCTCTCAGTTGTTCTTCCCTGCACTCTTTCCAGAATCTCAACATCTTTTTTACATTGTGGTGATCAAAACTGGAAGCACTATTCCAAGTGTGGCCTTATTACCAAGGTATTATAAAGTAGTATTAACACTTCACGTGATCTTGATTCTATCCCTCTGTTTATGCAGCCTAGGATTGCGTTGGCTTTTTCGGCAGCTGCAGCACACGGCTGGCTCCTGTTGAAATGATTGTCCACGAGGACTCCAAAACCCATCTCAAAGTTATTGCTATTGAACCAGACCTGTGCATTTGGTTTTTCTTCCCTAAATGCTCATCAAGAACCCCGTTATCTCCGTCCAGGGGAATCAAGGCAAATCCCACCCACCCAGAAATGCTCCCTTCAAAGTTGTTGTTTCACAGAGATTTATTGACATTCACGCTTTCAAGAGGAAGAATCCTGACCTTCGTTTTTTTTTTACTCAACAAGATTAAGGGGCCCCTTTTCCTTTTGTTCTTCCCGGGATTCTAGGCGTTATCAATTCAACCAGATGTTGTTTCCTCTTTAAAATATATATTTATATCCTGCCACCCAGCTGCGCTCAAGAGCTTGCAGGAAAATAATTGGCAATACAACAGGGGCGTCATCAGGATTTTTTGGGAAAAGGCCATACTCTGATTGGCAAAACCATCGTATTATTTAATTTCGGTTTAAAAAGGAAAAAAAAAAACAGACCTCTTTTACGGACACAAGCATTCTGCAACTACAGGTAGCTCTCGACTCGCAATGGTTTGTTTAGTGACCGTTCGAAGTTATAACGGCATTGAAAAAAAGGTGACTTATGACCGTGTTTCACACTTATGACCGTTGCAACATTCCTGTGGTCAAAATTCAGATGCTTGGCAATAGACTCATATTTATGACGGGGTGGAACAAAAGCCAGATTCACTTAACAACCATGGTGGCCAAAGATTGTAAAATGGGATGAAAACTCCCTTAACGCATGTCTCATTTAGCAACGGAAATCCTCCAGCCCTTCCCTTTGCCCTCTCTGGGGTGAATGGGGAGGTGGGGGGATGTCACACAACCATCTGCGACCAGAGTAATAAACCCCACGCCATAATTTGCACTCACATTCCATTTTGGCACACGCAAAAATCAAGTGACAAGGAGTTCCTCAGACCACTCTCTTTTGAAGCTCCCCCTTTGGGGTCCAAAGCTGGATTTTAGAAATATTGCTCATCGGAAAGGCGGGGGGGGAAAGGGGACTCCCACCCCCTGCATATATTCTATCGAAATTCAAAGCCCCCTCCCTTTACGCTTCCCTGGGTAGAAGGGGAAGGGGGGAAAAAAACCCCAAGGAGCAGGACTTTGAAAAAGTGCAGCAACCCATTTCACAGCCTGCTAAACTCGGTTTAGCGAAGGCCCAGCCAACATTGTGCGCCCAAATTCTTAAAACTGGGGTATCTTTCAATCACAAAAAGGCACCCATAAAATTCCTATTTTTTCCCCATCCCCGTTTTGAATTCAAGCCTCGGCATTGTTAGGAAGAAACTGGTTCAAACCTTTCAGCCAGGGAATAATACATTTTGAAATAGTTTGGCAAGTTTTTCCCCCCAATACGGGAACCTGGTGGGTGGATAAGCGGGATCTAGCCTTCCACCCACAACAATACACCCTAAATTTGCACCTCCTGCCCTCCAGCTCTGTTCCAATCCCGCCGTGCAGCGGCTGTCACTCAACACGGCTGCAGTTTTTATAATATTTTGCGCCCAGGGGTTAACTTTTCCGTAACTTAACCTGTTGGGTTGTTTTATGTACGATCCCATCGTAACCCCCAAAATTCAGAACAAAGGATTGATGCAGTCATCTTTAAAAGTCCTTCTTGGAGTCAGGGATCCCCGGGGATCTCTTGGTGGGATCTGTTTCTTTTTTTGCAGGAATTAAACAGGGAGTCAAAAACAGTGGAGAGAAATGTCCCAAGGAATCACACGCCCCTTTCCCCCCACCCACCCCCAGATCCTATCCAAATTCAGGCTATAACTATATCGGTGAACGCCGGTTCCGGGCAGCGAGAATAAAACTAACAAAATGGTGATTCTTTTCCTTGCAAAGTTCCCCGCAAATTGGCAAACTTGTCCGTCAGATTCCGAGCTCCATTTTGCCCGCAGGAAAATCAAGCGTGCAGGCAGATTTCTCCTCTTTCCTTTCGCCTTTGCCCAACAACCGCCCTGCAGGGTAGGCCGTCCCCGAGGACATGCTGAGAATTTTCCGATCTGGATGCGAGGAAGTCGGAAAGTCGTGCAAAGAAAACTCACAATCCCAACGGCCTTTTGTGTTTCCCATCTGGCTGAAGCAGACCAAGGGGTGCCTTTTGAAATACTCCTGTGAGACCCCCAAACCTTGCTACTCTCACTCAAGGGGGGTGGGTGGAAACAAGGGGGAGTTTAGCCACAAAAAGTCCTCATCCTATTTGAGAAGGAGGCCATGATGTTTGCTTCTTGGACCATCCTGCTGTTCCTGTCCAGCTGCCCTCAAAGGAGCTTTTCCGGCACCTGGCCTGACCCATCCAAGCGTGGTGGCGGGTTCGAACTATCCCCAGAAGAGATCCCTTTTTTGTGGGGGGGGGGGGGGCGATGTAAAATCAGAACCCCGTGGAGGTAAGCAGCCTGCCGTGCCAGCCTTCCCAAACAAGCCTTCTAAATTTAAAATCCCCGCTGCGGAGTCCTGTGTGATCCAGAAGCTGGCTGCGTTTGTGCGGCAACTCTGGCCAGCCCAGCCTTGGGATCCTGGTTAAATACCGGGAAAGCGGGGGTTGGCTTGCCTCGCCTTCCTGCCTGCCTTCCATCCTTTCCCTGCCTCCCTTCTTCCTCTCCGCGGGGTTCCCACGCTCCAGGCTGCTGTCCGTCCGGTGCAGCATCCTCCTCCTCCTCCTCACTCGTCGGGCGAGCAAGCGGGGTGCGGCTGGTCGGGGCTGCCCACGCTGCCCGTGCTGGAGCTGCCGTCGCCCAGATCGCGGGGTCCGCAAGGCAGGCTGAGCTCCGACGAGCCTCCGCCCGGGCTGGGGCTGGCATCGGGGCGGGCGGCGGCGGCGGCGGCGGTGGCGGCGGCGGCGGCGCAATCCTCCAGCGCCAAGCAGAGCTCCTTCAGCTCCAGGTTGTCCTGCGCCAGCCGCTCCTGCAGCCCTTCCAAGCCGGCCAGCTTGCGCAGGCAGCCGGCCACTTCGTCGCGCAGGACTTGCGCTGCGTGGTGCCCGAAGAGCTGCCAGTGCCGGGCCAGGCGCTTGGCTTTCAGCCGGTCCTCGTCCAGGAAGCAACAGAGGTCGCGCAGCTCGCGGTTCTCCGCCTGCAGCCGCCCGTTGACGGCTTTCAGCTCGCGGATCTCGCGCAGGTGCTCCTGCAGCTGCCGGTTCACGCCCTGGATCAGCCGGCCGCGTTGCACCAGCGCCGCCAGCTTCTCGGCCTCCTCCCGGCGCAAGCGGCGCACCAGCTCCTCCTTGCTGCAGCCGGCCAGGTCCGCCTCGCTGGCCGGAGCATCGGACGGCGGCGGAGGAGGAGGAGGAGGAGGCGGAGGAGGGGGAGGCGGCGGTGGGCTGGAGGACCGGCCGACCGGGGGCGGCGGCGGCGGCGGCGGCGGTGGCGCCGGGAACATCGCTCGCTCAGCTCCGGTCGGTGCAAAGCGGCGCGGGGGGAAGCAACCGGTTAGCCCGCCCGTGCAGCGGCATCTTTGCAAGGCTGGACGCCGGGAGGAGCGAGCCGCGCTTTTGCAGCGGGACCTCCCTCTTCCTCCTCCGCCGCCGCCGCCGCCGGCGGGATGAACGGGACGGATGCCCGGGCGCGCTGCACCTCCGCCGGCCGGGAGCAGGTGCAGCAAAGGGAGAAGGGCGCCTGCGCGGCGGAGGGCGGGAGTGAAAGGGGAGGAGGGAGACGGGGAGGGGGGCGGGCTGGGAAAGGATGCCCTGTCGGTGCAAAGTGGGTGGGTGGGGGAGCGGGAGCGCGCGGGCGCGTGCACGGGAACGGACCGGCGGCGGGGGTGGAGAAAGCAGAGCTAGGGGGGGGGTTATCCCCCAAGCCGGGAAAAATTGGGGAGAGGATGGGTGGGTGGAGGGAAAACGGAGCAGGCTTGCACCCTTTCCCCGCTTGCAATCCGGATTAAAGGTTCTTTTGCACCCACCCACCCAGCCTGGGCCACCCACCCACCCCCGGCAGCCTTCTGTAGCTTGGCAAGGGGCGCTCGTGCATCGGAGGAGGAATTGGGGTTAGGGGGCGTGGGTGGGTGGGGAAACGGTTTGCACCCTTTCCCCGCTTGCAATCCGGATTAAGGGTTCTCCTGCACCCACCCACCCAGCCTGGGACCCCCCCCACCCACCCCCCCGGCAGCCTTCTGTAGCTTGACAAGGCGCGAGCAAGCGGTGGTTCCCGCGCAAGGATGCGGAATTGGGATTAGGGGGCGTGGGCGAAACGGAGTTGGTTTGCACCCTTTTTCCGCTTGCAATCCGGATTAAGGAGTCTGCTGCACCCACCCACCCAGGGACCACCACCACCCAGGCAGCCTTCTGTAGCTTGGTGAGGGGCGCGTGTGCATTGGAGGCGGAATTGGGGTTAGGGGGCGTGGGTGGGTGGGGAAACGGCTTGCACCCTTTCCCCGCTTGCAGTCCCGATTAAGGGTTTTCCTGCATCCATCCACCCACCCACTCACTCCGGGGTCTGGGACCCTCCCCCTTCCATCAGCCTTCTGCAGCTTGGCAAGACCCGGGCAAATAAAATTGGGAAGACGGTGGGTGGCGTGCGTGGGTGGGTGGATTGGGGGAGAAAACAGAGCAGGCTTGCACCCTTTACCCGCTTGCAATCCGGATTAAGGGTTCTCCTGCACCCATCCATCCCCCCAGCAGCCTTCTGTAGCTTGGCAAGGCGCGAGCAAGCGGTGGTTCCCGCGCAAGGATGCGGAATTGGGGTTAAGGGGCGTGGGCGAAACGGAGCTGGCTTGCACCCTTTCCCCGCTTCCAATCCGGATTAGGGAGTTCTCCTGCACCCACCCACCCACTCCGGGGTCTGGGATCCCCGGGCAGCCTTCTGCAGCTTGGCAAGACGCGGACAAACCGACTCCATCCGCGCTCCCGCGGCGGGATGCGGAATTGGGGCAGGGGGGCGTGAGGATGGAGATCATGGAGTGGCGGTCTGGCGTAGGACGCTTGCCGGGATGGGAGGGTTGGAGGAATCGGTGCAAGAGTACGATCGGGGGTGTCGGATTCAATTTGCGTGGGAAGGAAGAGCTGGCAACCCCGGTGGGTCGTGTGAATGCGGGGAAGCCTTGCTTGAAGACACGGGGCTCAACCGGTGAGGAAACATATCGAGGGCTCGTGGTTTCTAGGCTTGGAAAAGGGCTGGAGAAAAGGTCGAGGTTGCCATGTTCTGCGGTTTGTGGCTTGGCCCCTGTCGCAGCAGGCTTGGGTCATGTGAACTCTGCCAATGGGTGAAAGGAGGAGGCTGCAGGAACCCACTGCCTCTGTCTGGCTCCAGAGAAGTAATTTCCTTTGCCTTTCTGTGGGAAACCGGCTCTGAATCATTGGGCTGGCTCACACACACATCCTGCCTGAGCATTGTCTTAGTTTGCAGGGTAAGATCCTAGACCTTGATTTCTTAAAACCCAGGGGTGGTTAGACCATCACAAACCAGGTTTAGCTTGATGGGCGAGTGGATCCAGAACTAATTTTCCTCTTAAATCTAATTTTCTATTGGTCTCTTTGCAGGGGGGTAAACCGAATCCCTCTTTAGGATTGCTTTGTCAAACGCTGTTCCCTCCATACCACCAAAAAAAAAAGGATTTAAAAAGCCAAACTAAAAAAAAAAAAAGATTTAAAAGCCAAACTTTTTGAAAACTTCAGTTTTCCTTTTCCCTCTGCAAATCTTTTCCTTCTTGCCTTTATCAAACTGCAGCCCCAAAGCAGGGGCCTTCTTTTGACTTAAACCTGATTATAAAAGGTAAATAAAATCTCAACGAGCTAGTGATCTATTCTTTTATACCTGAATAAATCCAGTTTGCTATCCTGGCTTGAAACCGAAGGACAATATGGCTGATTCCCACCATGGTTAGCCAAACTATAGTTTAACCTTGTTAAATTACGGATAAAACTCGACTTACAACACTTCATTGAGTTCAAAGTTAGAACGGCACTGAAAAAGGGACACAGCCATTTTTCACACTACAACACTATTGTAGCATCCCCATAGTCACATGATCAAAATTCAACCACTTAGCAATTGATTCATATTTATGACAGTTGCACTGTCCTGGGGTTATATGATCCCCTTTTGCAACCTCCTGACAACCAAAGTCAAAGGAGAAGACAGATTCACTTAACAAACGAGTTACTAATTTAATAAGTGATTCACTTAACAACTACAGAAAGAAATAGCGATAGCCCTTAGACTTATATACCGCTTCACAGTGCTTTACAACTCTCTATTAAGAATCAGCCTCTTGCCCCCAACAATCTGGGTCCTCATTTTAACGACGGAAGGATGGAAGGTGAGTCAATCTTGAGCTGGTCAGAACTGAACTGCTGACAGTGGGCAGAATTAGCCCACATTCTAACCACTGGGAAGGAAAAGGAAAGAAAATAGCAATAGCATTTAGATTATATACTGCTTCACGGTGCTTTCCAGCCCTCTCTAAGTGATTTACAGAGTCAGCCTCTTGCCCCCAACAATCTGGGTCCTCATTTTAATGACCTCAGAAGGACGGAAGGCTGAGTCAATCTCAAACTCAACAGGATTGAACTGCTGACAGTGGGCAGAATTAGCCTGCATTCTAACCACTGGGAAGGAGAAGGAAGGAAGGAAGGACTTAGACTTATATACCGCTTTCCAGCCCCCTCTAAGCGGTTTACAGAATCAGCCTCTTGCCCCCAACAATCTGGCTCCTCATTTTGCCCACCTCAGAGGGACGGAAGGCTGAGTCAAATTCGTAAAATGGGGCAAAACTCACTTCTCAAATGTCCTGTTCAGCAACAGAAACATCGGACTCTATTGTGGTTGTGAGTTGAGGACGATGGAGTTTTCTGCAACACGCTAAAACCTAAACTCTGCACGGAGTTCTGCCCGTGATCCTCCTGGCTAAGGCCGGCCTTGATTCTTAGCATACTGCTAACCCTCTTTGCAAATTTCCACACACACCCCTTTTTTTTTCCTGTCGGGAAAAGACGGATAAGGGCCAAGACACCCTTGGCACAGGCCAAGACACCCTTTAATTTGTTTTTCTCCGGGGTTGGCAAGGTTCAAGAGGATGCAAGCCAGGCCATAAACCTTAAAAGAAAGGGAGAGAGAAAAAAACAATTTTTTTTTTTTTTTGACATGCCTGGGTGCCATGCCAAGTAGAACTTGGTGTCTTCCTGGTTGCTTGAGGGTTTTGACAGCTCTGGCATTAAGAGGAAAGCAGAAAGGAACTCCTGCCTGGATGGAGTCTGCAGGCAGAAACGCTGGTTTTTTTTTTCAAAATAGGGATACCCTAAAATTTGCTGCAACAGGGAGAAGGTAGCAGACATTTCTACCGGTGGAAGGCTTGGGGGGCGTGTGTTTATTTAACATTGTCCCCTCCATCCCATCAACACCCCAACTGATAGCTAAAGCCACTGTTCTGACCTAGGCTTTCCAAAATCATGAAATCCTTGTCCCAATAAAACCCCTTTTATTTAGATTAAAGTGAATTCCTCGCCAGCAAAGTCCCGGCAAACAGTATTTTCATGAGATTTCACAACGACAGACCTTTATCAGGCTTGGAGAGTTGCCAGGCCAATAGCTTCTAAACGCCACACCATAGCAGCAATTACTTGGCAAGAAGTCAGGAACAGATCTTCACTCTAATGAATTGAACTAATTGTCTCCTGCAAACACCACTCCCCTTTTGCTCCTCTTTTATTCCCTACGGGAGGAGCCATTCACCGTCCCCCTGTGGCTTTACTCCTGTGTTGACCCTTGTTCCTTAACTATTCCCTTCTCCTGGCAGCTCTGTGCATGCGCACATTGGGAACAGGCTCCAGCTGTTCTTCCTCACTGATCTCTGGCTCTGAAGGCAGCTGATAACTGTCAGAGGGCCCTGGCCCCATCTGCGCCTCCGATGCAGAGCCCTTGTCAGAGCCTCCCCCAGACTCCAGGGCTGGCCCATGCTCCTCCCCAACCTCCTCACTGCCCGAGTGTGATGGGCCACAACAGCCACACACCTCAAGGCACCGCATAAATACAGTTAGTCCTCGACTTATGACAATTCATTTAGTGACCATCCAAAGTTATAATGGGATTGAAAAAAAAGTGACGGTTTTTCACACGACCATTGGAAGAATCCCAATCAAAATGGAGACACTCGGCAACTGCCGCATATTTATGATAGTGTGGCACCGTCATTGTACTCGGTGCACATTGGCTGGGGATGATGGTCCTTGTAAGCCTTATCTGGATGATAATATCGTTCAGTTATAACACTCCTCCTGCTTTCCTAGTTAACCGGTCTGTTTCGGCCTTTCTCCAACCTGGTGTGCCCAACCAGCATATTGAGTGGCAGCTCCCAGCATTCTACACTTGCAGCTGTGGATGAGGGGTTTGGTAGTTAGAGAAATCCCTGTTTGGAAAGGCTTATTCCGTGGATTACAAATGCAATACTTGGTTATAATGTGAGTAGCCAAAACTCCAGATGAGCCCCATGCTAAGAGAGGACAGAATAACTGATGAATAAATGAGATTTTTTATTTAAAAGCACAAAGGGATCGATGTTCTTCAATGCTCAAAGCAATGAATTAATCATGCTTCTAGTCCTCAGCTTCTAGCCGCGAAGCCCGAGGGGATCCACTTTTTTATATGTGCAATGAATTAATCATGCTTCTAGTCCTCAGCTTCAGCACTATTTCCAGTCCCAAAGCCCAAAGGGATCCACCTTTTTATATGCACACAACAGTGAATTAATCATGTTTCTAGTCCACAGCTTCAGCACTATTTCCAGTCCCATAGCCCAGAGGAATCCATTTTTAAAAAGTGCACAAAACTCATTAATCATGTTACTAGTCCTTAGTTATTTTCCAGTCCCATTTTAGGTCTCAAAATATGCGTGTATGCTTGTTTAAATTTTATTTGATGCTGCTCCTTCCAGAAGGCTTAAACCGCCCTAAGGAAGCCTTCTCTGAAATGCATCGGATCACAACACCCATAAGCCCCATCCTAGGCTTGTTATGACCTATCTATGAACTATAACGATGGATGGAGTTTGCGCACGCGCTGTCTCCCCCCCCCCCCCCCCCAGTCTCGGTTTCCATCTTTACCACTGGCAAGCGCCGCCTGACAGGCCTTCGTGCACCTGCCGCTCATGCCAGCGGTAAAGATGGAAACCGAGAATATGGCCGGGGGGGCACATGCGCAAATCCCTTCCAGGCCGGCGGCGACCCGGAAGAGATTCTGCTCGTAGTGGTCATGTGATAGCGTTCCATCTAAACAGCGGCAAATGGCTGCTGGTGGGGTTTTTTTGCAGCTGGAAAGGGGAGAAATGGATATCGAGGGGGGCCGTTTGGGACTTGAGGGGCCGTTAGGGGCTTGACTGGCTGGCCTTTTTGTGCGGACGTGGGCCGCTGATCGAGACGGGGAGGTTCTATCCACCAAGGCGGGGGTGGGGTTCTGTCTTCCAAGACTTGGATGCCTGTGAGCATGTACGGAGTGCCTCGCCTCTTCTTTTTCTCGGGGAAGCAGAATGGTTGGCGAGGAGGGAAATAATAAAAACACAAGAAGGGCATTCAAGAAAAGAGGAGGAAAATAATAGCTATTGTGAATATTAATCAGATTTTTAACTCCTTCTATAAAATAGCATTTAAAAATAAGACTTTTCCTAGAGTGCATTCTTTTCTGTGATTGAGTCCCCATCCCTTTCGTTGGATAAAAATTTTTAAGGGGTCCATCCCCCAAAATGTGTAAAAATTGAGTACGGTTTTGTCGATTTCTCATATGAACATGCACTGTTTTAAAATGAATATTTAAAAAATAATAATAAATTTAATACACCACTTGTGCTTGCTTTTGGACAAAAAGGGTTTAACCACCCTCCTTTCTGTGGTGACCAGAGTGATTTTATTTTAACTTTTTTCCCCATCCTTCAGTATCCTTCAATATTTTGGGGGGTATTTGGCTGTTGAATTCCCCAAACACCATAAAACACAAGAACTTACAACCAGGTTGGGAAAACTCTACAAATGTGGGAAGAATTCTTGGATGCTGTGGCTGGGAAGGTCTCAGAGATGGAAAAAAAGCTTGTGGGCTAGAACCATGACTTCTCTGCTTTCCTTCTAGGCTGAGCAGTGCAACCTGATGCCGGCAAGGGATTCTGTGCTGAAAGAGAGGGACTCCCATCAATTATGACCAGCAATCTGGACATTTTTGTGGGGAACACCACCTTGATCGATGAAGAAGTCTATCAGCTGTGGCTAGATGGATATTCTGGTAAGTCTCAATCTTTCACATCTGTTGTCCGTTTCTCATGAAAAAAGACAGTTTGAAACGGTGTCTCTCAGCCATGACAACTTGAAAATGAGAGAACTTCAACTCCCAGAATTCCTGAGCTGGTTGGGGGAATTCTGGGAGTCGAAATCCCCCCTATCTTAAAATACCCTGGCTGGGGAATTCTGGGAGTTGAAGTCCACCCATCTTAATAGCTGCCAAGGTTGAGAAACCCTAATCTAAGGCAGGGGTCCCCCACCATGGCAATTTTAAGACTTGTGGACTTCAACTCCCAGAATCCCCCAACCTGCATGCTTTAAGATGGGCGGACTTTATCTCTTAGAATTCCCCAGCCAGCAATTGAAGTTTTCCTATCTTAAAGCATGTTCGCTGGGGAATTCTTGGGGAAATGAAGTCCACCCATTTTCAAGCTGTCATGTTTGAGAAACTTTGGAGTAGATGATCTCTAAAGCCCCAATCCTGGCAACCTAGGAGAACATAAACTAGATTCTTGCATGTTTTTCATTGTAGCTGTGATGACCCAAAGGAGTGTGACACAAAAATAACCGAGTCACCAAAATAGAATAAAGTTCCTTTAATGCCTCCAACTTGGTCCCAATGTCCAATTATCTTCCTCTGGAAATCAAAACTCTTAAAGAAAAAAGTTTACGGTGGGAGTAAATGCAGTCCACACCCGAAGTAAAGTTAATTCGAAATAAAAAACCCAACACAAACCACACTGAAGTAATTACTATGGCAGGCAAGGATGATTAATTGCAGACTTCTACCAGATAACAAGGCAACCACAGTTGGGAGGAAGCCAAAACACAGATAAGCTCTGACAAAAATAATGCACACTTTGCTTCCAGCACTGGGCCATGCGCAGTTTGTCCTTTAAAACAGTCCTCACAGCTGCAGCCCATGAAGGGCATCAGGGCCCCTTCCTCCCCCATAGACCACGCCATTCACATTTCTCCCTTATCTGCTCCTCCCTGTGTGCCCTAGGATGAAGAGGGGATGGGCCTGGGTCTTCCTCTGAATGCCCAGCCGGTCTGTGCCCTTCCCCAGTTTTCTCCACAACCTCCGGAGCCACACTCCCACTCCCTGTCGGCTGTTGTTCCTGTCCCTTGGAGTCAGACTCCAACAGGGGCATGAGAGTAGGTCTTTGCATGCTTTTTCTTGGCTGTGATTGGTCACACTAGCCTTAAAGCCAGGCACAAATACTTTCAGTCCACAAATCTTCCGTCAGTGTGAATCTTACTCCTTGAGAGGCAAACTTTTCCCTCTTGGCTTTCCCCAGTGGATGATGCCGTCTCTCTTCGGCTGCGTTCTGGCATCCTGGAGCAGACCGGCGCCACGGTTGACGTTCTCCAAAGCGACACCATGGACCATTACCGCACTTTCTACATGCTGGAACGTCTCCTCCATTCTCCTCCCAAGCTACTGAACCAGCTGCTTTTTCAGATCCCGCCTTGCCGGCAGACAATGCTGATCGAGAGGTAGGCTTGACAAATGGGACAGTGGAGGAAATGCCCTGTAAGCTCCTGCCCCTCCTTCTCACTCGAGAAAGTAAAAACTCTTGAAAGTTAGGTGCTTCCAAAGGAACCTTTTGCTAAGAACCTTCTGCTAAGTGATAGCAGAACAAAAGCAAAGCAGACTCTAAATCCCCTCGGGCAATACAGTTATAAATAAGGCATAAAAAGCCCCTCCCTCCAGTCCAGTGCGGATTCAGCCAATCCACAGGTGTGGAGATGTTATTGTAACGGCAGTCCCGAGAACCAGGTAAACAAGCATTCCCAGGGTCATCTTCCGCTGGCTTTCAGAGTGAATCAACCCACATGGCCCTCCCCCCTTTGTACACTCCCCAAAAGGTGAGAAAATCTCAGGGCGATTAGGTGCCAGGATAAAGGTTATAAAATAGCAGTTGTCAGAGGTATAAAAAAAGAATTACATTCGAGGTGTTTCCTCCCACCCCCCAGCTGAATGGCAGTATCACTCTAGGGATCTGTTCTGACCCAAACCTTGTTCCAAGGAAACAAACACCAAACAGGTAACAGCAAAACTTTTTAATGTTTCTTTACGAATTCCGTTCCTTCCCGGTTAAAAGGCTGTTTCAAACTAATTGTCTCTGATAAGAACGAGCCTTGCCAAGGTGGTGCAAGGCTGCCAAGAACACTAGATAAAGTTACCAAGAAATATTTCAAACACAAAGAGTCTCCAAACACCAATGCAGATACTCCGAACGTCCACAAGGCTTCAGTGCAAAAACTTCTTTGCTTCCTGCGAAGAACTCCAGTTTCTCAGCTGTCTTTTATCTCTTAAGGGAGGGGACATTACCTTGCAGCCTTACTTCTGAGTTGCCCGTACTGCTGAGGCTGCTCTTTCCTTTGAGAAGCCCTGCGTGCATGAACACTGGGCACGGGCTCCTTGGGGGCCTCTTCATCACTGCTGCCAGCCTCCACACTCTCCGAAGGCAGCACTCCACTCCCTGATGGTCCTGGCCCCATCCCTGCATCACACGCAGGCCCCTCACCTGAGTCCTTGATTCGCTGAGACCTCAGCCATCTGCACCTGCTGCTGGTGAACCACAACAGGATCTGACAGGGTCCCTGGGTTGGATTTGGGCCACATACTCACTTTATGGCAACCCAGCTATTGTTTAGAAAAGTACTGTATGCAAATCCAGTCCTGTGAGTCACTGGAGGTTTTTCATGAAGAGCCGCTTGTCTGTAACAGTGCAGATAGTCCTTGACTTACGACCATAATGGAGCCCCAAATTTATCTTGCTAAGTGAGAAATGTGTTAATGGAGTCTTGCCCCATTTTAAGACTTCCCTTGCCACATTTGTTAAGTGAATCATTGCAGTTCTTCAATTAGTGACATGGCTGTCTGGCTTCTCCACAGACTTTGCTCGTCAGGCGGTCGCAAAAGGGGATCATGTCACTCTGGGACACTCCCACTGTCATAAGTATGAGTCAGCTGCCAAGGTGTCTGAATTCTGATCACGTGACCATGGAACGGTCATAAGTGTGAAAAACGGTCCCTAAGCCTCTTTGGCCAGGGCCGTTGTAACTTTGAACGGCCTCTCAAGGAACTGTTGTAAGTCGAAGACTACCTGTAGTAGCAGTGTTTTATTCCTTTTCAGGTACTATGCCTTCAATGCTGCTTTTGTGCGTGAGGTGCTGGGGAAAAAGCTATCGAAAGGGACCAAGAAAGATCTGGATGATATCAGTGCCAAAACCGGCGTGACTCTTAAAAGTTGCCGCCGGCAGGTAAGTTGAGGCCTGAATTCCCAAAACTAGCTTTTCTCTTGTTTTCAGTAACTCTGAACTGACTGGGGTGAAAGGCAGATATGTTTTGCAGATGCTTGATGATCCAGTATCCTGTAAATACAGTTTGTTTGTAATAAAGGCGGGATGCAAATAAATAAAATCGGTTAGATGGACCAGGGGCTGCAACCCCAGACCAGCATGGTTTGTCTCCCAAGATGACGTAAAGCAAGGGTCTTCCAACTTGGCAAGTTTAAGACTTGTGGACTTCCAACTCCCAGAATTCCT